TTTTTTTTTTTTTTTTTTTAAAAAAAGCCCCCCTTTTTTTTTTTTTTTTTTTTTTGTCTGTTTCGTGACCGGTAAGGGGATCGCAACCCTTGATGTGGTGTCGCCCGCACCACGCTCAGCCAGTGAGCGCACCGGCCATTCCTATATAGGATCTGAACCCGCGGCGGGAGCGTCGCTGTGCTCCCAGCGCCACACTCTCCCGAGTGCGCCACGGGGTTGGCCCCATTGTTTTTTTTTTTTTTTTTTTCAAAAGCAAACAAGCAATGCAAAAAGGTATAAAGGAAAAAGTTAAAGTCACCCTTATCTCTAGCACCCCTGCCCCACTGCACTGTCCCCTCCTTAGAGGTCTCTACTATTAATAACTTGTCATGTATCTTTCCAGACCTTTTAAAAAAAATTTTTATAAACTTTTAATGAATGGGATCATAAAGTACTTATTATTCTGCCACAATGAATGATTTTAAAATGCAAATTATAATTTTGAATATGTCAAAAAATATTTTGTGAACACGTGGAAAGAATCTATGCAGAGGCAGTTGAAAAGTCAGTGGGAGAGCACAGTTGCCATTGTGGAATCTGGCTTCTGTGCTGTGACATTGTCGAGGTACCAGGGCTAGCCCCAGGGAAGTTGGGAGCAGGCCAGTTTGTCCATGAAGTCTCAGTCCTTGGTCTTGGGTGTTTTGGTTTTTTTTGTCTCTGTTGCTTCCGTGTTGTAGAGGCCCTTACCGTGTGCCACACGTCTAACAAAGCCTGCAGTATGGGGAGGTGTACTTAATGTCAGACAGAACCACAGGACAGGGCTCAAATCTGGATGTGTGACTATAAGCACATTACTTAATCTCTCTGAACATCAGTTTTCTCAGCTATGATGTGGGAGGATAATCACTATGTCACAGAGTGCTTATGAACATTAAATGTGCTAAGGAATACTTCTAACTTATAGTAGGTGTTCAACAAATCTTAATTTCCCTTTTTCCTGCTTCCTGAGCCTTCATTCTAGCAAGGTTTGTTAACACTTGGGCATGTTACCCTTTCTTAAGGGGATTCGCATTTCAACAGTGATCCAAGCTTTAGTGGAAGGAATTAGGGATCCGCCAGCAGGAGTAGGAAGATTCTTCTGGACTTTTTGGACTGCAGTCACATCGCCTCTGCCTGGCTTTTCAGAAATATTTCATGAATGGGCACGACAGGTCGTGTACTGACTCCACCTTCTTTTTTGCAGAGTCAGCCCTGCCCTCAGAGGACAATTTGGCTGCCAGACAACCGCCAAGTTTCTTTTCTTACATACCTCAGCCTCGTGCGTTTCAGGCCACATATTTAGTGATGAAGTTGAAGTCATGTAGGAAGTGTTATAAGGGGAAAACAGCATTACCCAGAGCGTGAGGTTTCCAGCACTTGCTCTTCTTATCAGGATGACACAAGTCCTTCTGGCACCTTTGTGAGAATTAGAAAGGGCGCCCCCTGGGAAGATGGGGTCCTGCAGATGCACTTCAAGGTGAATGGACAGGTCTTGACAGAAATGAGAGAAAGGTGCTCTTCCTCCAGGGTAAAGGCAGCCCCAGCCCAGGCCAGGTGCCACTTGGAGAGCAGAGACCAGGCTGGGTTTCTGCCCCCATCCCCGCTGCCAAACACCCAGCACTGGGCATTGTGTGATCAGACACAGTGGGCCCGATATTACAGCTGTTTTCATGAGGCCTAAAAGAGTGATCCTTTTTCTCCTTTCTCACCTTCTTTTAGTGTCCTGACCTAAGCAATGGAGAATCTACCAGGAAACTCCCTCAGGGTGTTGTTTATGGTGTGGTGCGAAGATCAGATGAAAATCAGCAGAAAGAAATGGTGGTGTATGGGTGGTCCACCAGTCAGCTGAAAGAAGAGATGAATTACATCAAAGACGTGAGCCTTTTTGGGATTTTTTTTTTTTTTTTCTGGTCTGTATTCTTCTTGTAGCCCATGGAGTTGGAAGCATTGATGTGAATGTAATGAGGCATTTTGAAAGAATTCTTAGTGTTATCAGTTTAGATGGGAAGGTTTCTGCTTATCTTCATGGTAATGTTAGAAGTGCAGATGTAATTCTGGAACGAGGGATGGGTTGAACTTCTGTGGGATGGACGTTACTGAGGGATACTCAGGAGACCACGTGTCTTCCTTCCTGAGTGTATGGGCTGGGGCCCTTAAGTGGTTTTGCTTATTACACTGGACACACCTAATGTATAGTTTGGATGACTGTATAAATTTGGATGCTTTTGGCTGCAAGTAACAGAAAAGCCAACTGAAAAAGGGAAATTTATCTCACATGAGGATAAGTCTAGACGTAGGTGGGTTCCTGGCAGGGCACTTCTGGGCTCTAGATATGCTTTTCTGTGTTTCTTCCTTCAGCTTCAGTCTTGTCTCATTGGCCAGGACTGGGTCACAGGCTGAGTTCCAAACCCATCCCTGGCAAGGGGAATGGGAAGACAATGACTGGTTAAACCAGTCAGTTGGATTGGAAAAAACAGTGGGAAATCAACAACAGTAGATATTGCCCAGCCAAGCCAATCAATGCCCCTTCTTTGTATTTAATACTGTATTGTGTGTCTTTTAATTACATGTTCATTTGAGAAAATTTGGGAAGTACAAAATGTATGAAGAAGAAACAGAATCAACCCATAATCTCTCCATTCAACCAGAACACCTGTCAACATATGGGAGCATTGGCTTCTAATCATTTTATTTATATCTATCTATTTTCATTTCTTTTTGTTCTACCCAGTGTCTCTCTAGACTGACTGATGCCCCTGTTGCCCAAACCACACTGATTAGATGAAAGAGAAAATGTGCAGCTGTGACACTGATGGGCCCCCAACACTGGCCTGTGGCTTAGAAAGCGCTCTTGAGAAGCTAGGCAGCGTAGGGCAGAGGAAGCTCACCAACCTTGTTTCAAGCTCTGTGTTTGGCCCAGCATGTTACTTTTGCCTTCTGTGGGCTTCAGTTTTCTCATGTCTAGATTATGGGAGCTGGGGTCTGACCCATAAGGTCAAAATCTCCAACTCTATGAGCCCCATTTTATTTGGTGTGTTTGCAGATAAGATACAAAGCCACTTTGTCTTAGCTTTTGTATGAGTTTTAAAAAGGACATTTCTTATCAAATTAAAAAAATGTAAATACTTAGCAGAAAATGTGAGGAAAAGCCAGAAAAGCTACACACACACACACACACACACACACATGCGTGCACACACACACACTCAATCACAACGTGTGTGACAACTAACAGCCTCAAATCCCCAGTTATCCTGCCTCCCAAAGATAATTTTTTTTTTTTCCTTTTTGTCTTTTTCCGTGTCCGGCAACGGATCGCAACCCTCAGTGTCGCGCCCGTACCGGACCGGGACCAGCAACTGGATCGCAACCCTCGGTGTTGCTCCCGCACCTCGCTCAGCCAGTGAGCGGGAACCGGTCTGTATGTGGGATCCGAACCCTCGGCGGGAGCGCCGCCGCGCTTCCCAAGCGGTGCACTGTAGCAGTGCGCCACCGGGCCGGCCCCCCCAAAGATAATTTTTAACCACTTAGAGTATTCCGTCCTGATTTTCCTGTTAGGAACAGCTTGGACATTCTAAGTCTCCTGAGGTTTTCACAGGGAAATACTTACACCTTGCTCATTTAAATGCTCCAAATAGGGCCGGCCCCATGGCTCACTTGGGAGAGTGTGGCGCTGGTAGCGCTGAGGCCACAGGTTCGGATCCTATATAGGGATGGCCGATCCTCTCACTGGCTGAGTGTGGTGCAGACCACACCATACTGAGGAGGGTTGCAATCCCCTTACCAGTCAAATAAATAAATAAATGCTCCAAATAGCATGGCATTGCTTTAGAGGTGTATTAGTCTGTTTTGTGTTGCTGTGACAGAAATACCTGAGACTGGGTAATTTTTAAAGGAAAGAGACTTATTTGGCTTATGATTCTGGGACAGCTGCATCTGGCACAGTCCTCAGGCTGCTTCTACTCATGGCGGAAAAGTGGCAGGCAGACGGCGGGTAGAAGCAGATCACATGATGAGAGGAAGCAAGAGAGAGAGAGAAGGTGCCAGGGTCTTTTTAAGCAACAAGCTCTCACAGGAACTAATAGAGCAAGAACTCACTCATTAATCCCCCCCCTCCCCCAGGGAGAGCATTAATCCATTCATGAGGGATTCGCCCCCATGACTCAATCAGTTTCCAACACTGCCACATTGGGGATCAAATTTCCACATGAGTTTTGGAGGGGACAACACATCCAAACTCCATCAAGAGGCAACCCTTCTAAGCAGAGTCCAGAGTTGCAAATTGCCCAAGACAAAGATGGCAGGTTCAGGCAGATTCTGAGCTGTGAATGACATGTGCCAAGGTCACTGGGCTGGTTCCAACCTGGAATTGCCAACCTCCACTGTGACTGCAACTCAAAGTTAATTTCTAGGTTCCACCTTCTATAGCTAGCTTCATATCCACCCTGGCCTGGTCATTCCTACATGTGTTTATGGGTTTGTCCACCCTCTCTCTCTCTTGTGGGTGGCTCTCTGTCCCCATTGGCTTCCTGCACTGTTTACCGGTGGCAGCGACACCCAGCTCAAGATTCCACCCACTCACCACTGTCAGCTGCACAGGAGCCAACTCTGGGCCTGAGTGAAAGCCATTCCACCTGCCTAGAATGAAAAGTCATGCTTTTGGCTTCATTTTCCCAATGTTTGTAGTTAGTGGCAAGAAAGTAGACTCTGTTATTAGAATTCATCTGGGGAAGGCTTGGGGTCTTGACTCCCCCTTGTCCCCAAATCTCCACCAATAGTCAGTCACTCTTGATAAACATGCAGTCTAATTTAAAACAGTGTACTTACTGTGCAAATACACCTTCAAGATTGTCTCCCAATGTTGACCCCTAAACACTCACATTCTAGCCAAACTCTGCTGCCTTTAAGCTCTTCCTAAAATAGAAAATCTGGAGTATATCTATAGAAAACTCCCTTGAGACTTTCTATTCTGTTTGAAAATTTCTGCGCACTTTGTCCATACTAGGGGCGCCAGAATAAGGAGAAAACAAGGACTATTTGTAAGGTTTTTTGTTATGTTTAAAACAATTTTAAGGCCCTGTTATTCCTCTGGCAGTGGTACCATAGAGAAACTTGAACAGTGTTTGTGTAAACAAGTGTTTGGGATCACCATAACTTTTGTTATATTTAGTGCCTTGTGCATTATTGGTAATTATTGAGGAACTGACTTTCAAATTTATGGGCTCTCCGGGGCCAATATTTTTCTTCCTTACATTCCAGATGTTTAATTGCTCTTTGGCAGTTGGAGCAGAGATGGGGAAAATTTGAGGTTGCTTTTTGGTTTTTGGTTTTTTGGTCCTCTTAGCCATGCGTTTGCAGAGTCAACTTGTTAAAAACTTGCTAGCTACTTGTAAAAATGTGTGACAGGAAAGGGGCAAACCTTGCTCAAATGTGATTTGAGGGTGTTAGGTGAATTTCAACAAACCATTTTTTCTTTAGGGTTTATAATTTGGATAACTAATATTCATTAAGAGTTATAGTTGCATGTAATCATAATATGGATATATAAAATTATTATTATTTGGATAATTCCCTTGGTTTCTAACTAGATGTCAGAAGTGATCTTCTCCCTTAATTTCCTAAATGTCCTGTTCTTAAGATTGTTCTAAGATTATTTTTTTGTGGGGCCCATCTCTTGTTAGGCTTTCCTAAGTTTTGGAAGTCTCGCATGAAAATGTCATAGGCTGATCTCTAGCTATCATCTTTGTGGGCTGCAGGTGAGAGCCACTCTGGAAAAAGTAAGGAAGCGAATGTGTGGAGACTATGATGAGATGAGACAGAGGATCCAACATCTCACCCAAGAACTGTCGGTAAGTCAGGATCTCAGTGACTCAGAAATGCAGAGGGATGGTAGGGCATAGAACTTTCTCTGAGTGGCTCGTGCCTAAAGATCTTTGATTATATGATGTGTTTTATGAATGGAATCATATTTTAAGTGAGTTGAGGGAACTTTATTACAAAATGAAGTTTATTATTTAAAGGAAAATTTTTGTGGCAAGAAATGATCTTAATATTTGAAGCATTCCTACCAAAGTCTGGAATGAGACAAAGAAGCCAGCTGTCACTATTATTATTTATAACATTGTACCTGAGATACTAGCCAATGGAATTAAATAAGAGAAATACATTTAGAAGGATAAAAATGGAACAGGTAGATGTAAAACTATCACTATTTACAAACTGTGTGTTTATATATCTGAAAGTCCAAGTGAACTGATGAAAAAAAACTACCATAAACAATAAAAGAATTCTGTAAGATAGCAGGGTATAAAATCAATGTATACAAAGAAGTTTCAGTATACAAAAAATAACCAGTTATAAGAAATAACAGCAACAAAAAAATACTAAATATCTAGGAATAAACTTTAACAAGTGGAAAGACATACCCTGTGCTTAGAAAGGAAGATTCAATATTAGAAGTCAGTACTATCCAAGTTAATATGCAAATGTAATGTGACCCAATAAAAATACCAACAGATTTTAATTTAATTTTTTTTTTTTATAATTGGACGAGGTGATTGTAAGGTTTGTATAGAAAATAAGTAAGAATTGGGAATGTTCTGGGGGGAAAAAGACCAATGAGAGGGACTAGCCCTGTCAAACATTAAAACAAATTGAAAAATATTCAGAGATTAAAACAGTGTAGTATTGACATAAATAGACATCAATAAAAAAAGTTCAGAAATATATCCCAACATATGACAAATGTAGCATCTCAAATAAAGGGAGAAAAATAGACTAGTCAATATAAACTGTTGGCACAGTCTCATATCTGGATAAAATTCCAAATGGATCAAAGATTTAAATGCTAAAAATTAAACTTTTATAAGTGCCAGAAGAAAATATATGTGAGTTCATTTATGCCCTTAAAGTGGGGTATGCCTTTTCTTATTATGACATAAAATCCCAAAACCACAAAAGAAAAGGTTGATAACTTTGACTACTGTACATTAAAATGAAAAACTTCTGCTGGTAAAAACACCATAAGTCAAAGTCAAATGACAATCTGGGTAAAACTATTTGCCCTTTATATCATAGATAATAGGCTAATTTTGTGAATATGTAAAGAGCACTCACAAATCAGGAATGAGGCCAGAACTCATAAAAATGGGAAAAAGATTTGTAACAGATAATTTACAGCAAAGCAAAGATGGAGAGCTCTTAAATGTGTGACAAGGTGCTCTGCCTCACTCACAGTGAGAGAAATGCAGATTAAAACCCTCCTGGGATATACTTTTTATCTATTAGACTGGCAAAGCTGCGAGACTGGGACGAGACACTGTTGCCAGAGCTGTGGGAAAGCGGGTGGGTTGCTGATGGGAATGCACGTTGTATTACTCTTAGGGAGAGCAGTTCGGCAGTATCTGCAAAATTACAAATGCCAGACCCTTTGACCCAGCAATTTCATTCCTAGGAATTTGTTCTACAGATAAACTCTCACATATGTAAAATGACATTTGAATGAACTTATTTATTGCATTGTTTGTGATAGTAAAAAGATAAGAAACCTAAATGTCCACCAAGAAGGGGAAACTAAAATAAATTATATTTCTCCACTAGAATACATGCAGTTGTAAAAGGAAAAAAACAAAAACAAAAACAAGTAAGCCCTTCAAACAGAGATACAGAAAAATTTCAGATATATAGAGTAGTTGGTGAAAAAATCAAGATGCAGGAAAATATGTATAGTTTGCTACCATTTTTATAAAGCAGAAGGAGAAAATAAATGTCAGTATTATTTTGAGTGTGCACAGAAAGTTTCTAAAAGGATAATCCAGAAAATAGTTAACAGCAATTCCTAATTGGGGGCAGGTGGGCAGGGTGGTACCCGAGCAGATGGGACAGGAGTGAAAGGGAGATTTATTTCAGTGTGTACCTTTTATATTTTTAAAATGTTTGTACCATGTGAGTGTATTACCTACTCAAAAATTTAAGAAAAATAATCTTCCTCTAGTTTAACCAAGCTAACACTTGTGAGAATTAAAAAAAAATTTGTTATTAATAATCCCAAAGATTAAAGTCCATGTATATATGATATGATTTCATAAGAGTTAATATCTGTAGAAAAGAAGGGCAGTTACAACAGTGGTTCATTAGAATTCAGTGTATGTCTGGGCTGTGAGATCATCTCCTTTAGTAAGACCTACTGCGTTGATGATGGGGGGGGTATATAAACATATCCACCTAGCCCATTCCCACTCGCATGTAGGAGGAGAGTCATGAAATTCTCACCCTACATATGGAAATTACCCTGCCCTCTACTGACAGACACTTAACAATTGCCATCAAAGCCAAAAGATTGGATTTGTAATAGATGCGTAAACAAGACTCTGCCCCTTGCTTTCCATCACCATCTCCTACACTTCCTCATTTTCTTATGTTAGAACTGTTCCAGAAACCCCATCTCTCTGCCTACAGTCTTTTCCTTCTCCAGGCCATCTCACATACTGCAGCCAGATTAAGATCACTATATTACTGGTTTGTAAACATGCCTCCTGGACAAGGACCTGCCACATGATCCTGGTCCTGCTGTTTCAACTCTCTCTCCTCTTCCCCAGGATGCACCTTTTTGCCCTGTTGTGCCAGGCTGCTTCCTGTGGCTTCCACAGGGGTCCACCCCTGAGCATTCCTGAGAACCTCTGCCCCTAGCCCTGCTGCCTCCCTGCCTCTCTGTATCCAGCCCTTGTTAGGTCTAGCCCAGGACTGGCCTCTGATGAAACTTTTGCAAGCATGTTAAACACACACACCCAACAAAGACAGCAACAACAACAACAGCAACAAAGCAACTAGAGAACTAGGTGAGCCTGAAGTATGTTCTTTCCATGGTGAGTAGAGAGAGCAAGATGGCAGAAGAAGTTATTTCAACTGGGTCCTACTTGTAGCTGTGCAACTTCTGAGCTATTTGACTGTGAGCAAATCACTTATCTTCTCTGATTCTGTTTCTTCCCCATAAAGGGCAGTGTGCTGATTCCTGCATGGTGTTATCGTGAGGATTAAGGGGGGCTCTGTGGATGAGCGTGTAAATACTATCCAAAGGAAAGATACTGTTGCCTTTCTACTCTCTGGTCATGCAGGTGTTGACTTTTGTTTTAAAGCTTTCCTTTGCCGTGGATGTGGCTCCTATCAGAAGAAGATTCAGTTTAATCACAGTAAACTGAAGACTACTGTGGGTATGTGTGGATTGGTTTTGTGTGACTGTCTCCTCAATCTATCCAGGTTTCTCATGCTCAGCAGAACTATCTAGAGAATCACATCCAAACCCAGTCGACAGCCCTGGATAGTTTTAATGCCATGAACTCAGCTTTGGCGTCGGACTCCATTGGCCTGCAGGTATTCATCTGTTCACCGATACGTGGGGTCCCTTCTGTTACAGGACAGCCAAGCTTAACCAAGAGGGGCACTGTTCCTTTGTAGAAAAGTGAGACGCAGAATGTCCTCAGCTCATTATTCAGAATCCTTTAAGCATAGCCACAGTAAAGACTGTGCTAGGAAGACAATGAAGGAAGTTGAAGGAAGTGTTTCCAAGCTGAGACTCTAAACCTGTGTTTTTGCCCTCATTGAAATGGGGGTCTAGATCTTGATCTCAGTGTTAGAGATGTCGCTTGCTTCACCAGATATCTGAGTGGTCCCATGTGCCAGTGCCTAACACAGCACATCAACCCCGTTCTCCCTGTAGCCCGTGTTACAGGAAGTTCCACACAGTGACAAAAAGACAGACTTAACCAAAGACAATCTGTACTCTTTTATGGCAGGAAACTCCCAAAGGCTTGTAAGCACCTTTTCTTGATTTAAAATTTATTTTGCATTAGAAAGAGTCATGTGTATTCCAAAGTCTGTCTTGCAGTACCAGACAGGGTATCCAGGGTACCAGACTCAGGATCCTACGTTTGTGAAAATGTATGTTGTCCGCCCACTTCAAGGGATTGTTCTTTTGATTAGTTTGATGTGATTTGCTAGGAGCTAACCATTCAGATGCTTCTCATTCGTACTCTTGCAACTGAGTCCCCTCCCTAGCATGCAAATTAAATTGAAAATGTTCAAAACAAAGCATTATATTCACTTGAAATAGCTTCCCTTGGTCTGTTTTCAAATATATAAATAGTAGTTTCTGCCCTCCTCCAACTTTATTTGGCTCTTATCTTTTTACCCTCCTCTTAAAAGTTCCACAAACGATTTCAAATTCTTTCTGGTCCCATATAAATAATGTATTAGATAAACAAACAAGTTTTCATGTTGGGATTCTCCACTTCCCCTAGAACCTAGCATTCTCTGATAGCAGCTGATAGGGCAGTAGCAACAGCAGCCAGGCTAGGCTGCTGACCAGCCGTGGGTCCAGCTGGGCCTCGTGTTTGGGTTTGTCTGGGCCCATTTCTGGTGAGTCCCACCCTTTCCTGCCTGTCTTTAGTGTATGCCAGTTTCCCCCTGGCCTCAGGCCAAGCCCCTCCTTGGGTCAGGTTTAGTTGGTAGCCTTTGTTTCCCTCGCCCCTAGCCATCAAGGGGGCTCACAAAGGCTCTCTTTCCTTCCCTCTTGGACCTCATCTAACCCCCAGCCAACCAGGAAGGGCTTTCCTGCACCTGAATTCAGACTTGGTTGGCATCTGTACTATGTCTCTGTTTTTTCTTTCCAGAAAAAAAATATTCGCAAGTATTTTCTGGCAAATTCTTCTCATTTGCCATCTGGCTGGCACTCTGGGCACTTATCTCAGAGGGCAGCTGTTAGGACAGGGTCAGCCCTAACCCAGGTATTCTGACAGATTCCAAGTTATTGTCCAGTCTTTTAGTCTTGGGTGGCCAAAAGAGCCTTATAACTAAAAGATTAAGCCATGGGGGAAGAGAGAGGAAGAAAAGAAAGGTAATGTCTCACAGCCTGGAAACTTCACTGAACCTCAGGGTAGTTGGTTTCTTTTTTCTGCAAGGTATTAGCCTCTTCCATTTGCGCATTCCATTTGTGGACTGGGAGACCACACCCTTGGTTTGATTTCATAGAATGTCAGAGCTAGAAAGAACTGAAGATCATCTCCAAACCCATTGTTTTATGGATAAAAAACTGAGGCCAACAGAGAGAAATGACATGAACACATAAACACGGTATTTAGCTAGTGGCAGAGCCAGGATTAGAAGAGTCCTGGTCTCTTGGTCCAGATTGCAGGTATTTGTGTGGATACAAGAGCAGTATCTAAAGCACTGGGGCTTGGAGGAAGGGGTGGTTGGGCTAGGTGGTTTCTAAAGCTTCTTGAAGCTCAAATGTTCTGTGATTCCACGTTTCCAAATGTCTTCAGTATTTCTTTTAATATCTGATTACCTCTATTGAAAATTCTTTTTCCAAATTCAAATAGGTTTAGGAGTGAGAGGCTTTATTATTATCCAAAGCGGAGGCTGAGGAGTTGGAGAAGCTTTGCCTGATTCATCTAACAAAGAGGACAAAGGTGTTAGAAACTGCCCAACACCAGGGTTTCCAGATCTTCTAATTTGAAGTTGTAGGTGACTTGGGGAAGTGGTAGAAGGTGCCCATAACCCAGTGTCCAGTGGTAGGAATTCTGGGGTTTATGGATGCCATGTCTCACTAAGGAGAGTTAACCAAGCAGAACCCAAAGCAATAACTAGTAACAGTGGGTGGCCTGGAGCAATGATCAGCAGGCGTTGGGCACTTGTCTAAGTCACCAGACTCTGTTCCTTGGTATGTCCTTATCACCACCCTTTTCTGCCTGCGCGAGGAGGGTAAAGCATTGGAGGCACTGGGGTAAGCTCAGCACGGTGTCACTGTCCTGGCAGCCGGTCTAGAAGTACAGAAGTGACAGCTCTTTTAAAAAAGGGGGATATCTTCATTCTATAAAACTCATATTTGGTTGTCTGATTTTATTATAGGAATTTGGAAAATATAGAAAAAAACAAAAAAGAAATGAATATCCGTAATCCTATCACAGAGAGGATTATTATTTGAATTTCCTCCTAGTCTTTTTTTCCTATGCATAAACACATATTTGAACACATGCATATACATATTTCTCAAAATGGGATTGTTTTATACTATTTTTAAACCTGTTTTCCCATGTGAATTGATGTATTATGAACACTTTTCCTTGGAAAGATTCCATTTTAATTCATTTCCTTCCATCCTAAGCAGTGGCAAGGGTGTTGGCAGTAGCAGCAAGATGTGTTGGGGGAGGCTCGCTGGCCCACCAGCTACAGCGTGGCAGTCCTTCTGTCCCCGTGGGAGGCCCTCAGTCTCTTGAACACCAGGGCCAGCTGGCAGCTGCTGTGGCCTGACATCTACCTCAATGGTTAATGACAAAGGAATGTCTCCGTGTGTGACTCTGGCCATGTTTTTTCACACCTCTACATCTGGTTTTGCTTTTATTTCCACCCAAATAGAAAACTCTTGTAGATGTTACTTTGGAAAACAGCAACGTTAAGGATCAAATCAGAAACTTGCAGCAGACGTACGAAGCGTCCATGGACAAGCTGCGGGAAAAGCAGAGGCAGTTAGAGGTAGCCCAAGTTGAAAACCAGCTGCTGAAAATGAAGGTAGAGTATACGAGCCTAGATTTCCTCCTAACCCATCTCTCCTCTCCTCTTCAACTCTTCCTTCTCCTTTTCTCCATTCTCTTCTTCATGGCACTTTCTCGCCCTTTTATGGCCACTGTGTAGGGCTTGGCTTGAAGGCACTGAGGGAGGCCGTCTGTGTTCACAGTTGTCAGTCCAGTTGGGGGTGCTCCATAAAGACCCCAGTGCACACTCCTTCCTTAGTCACCACGGCACTGCTGTCGTTACTGAGAAGGCAGTTGGATGCCCTCAGGTATGAGATTTGAGAAGCTTTGGAGACCCCAAGGCCTTTCTGTATGGTCTGATAATAAAGAGCCAAGAGCCACGTGGTTCACTGGAACTTGGGCTCTGATCCTCTTCTCAGGAAGAAAAGGGATGGGTGACTCAGGGCTCTGGGGAATGTCCCTTTTGCCCACCAGACTGTGTGTGTTCCATAGCTGGACTTTTGATGCCCTGGGGGCATTTGTGCCCCTCCCAAATCTGAGACATGGATGGATTTCCTACCCAGTGGCAGGAGCAGACCCATGAATGGCTCATAGAAGGCACTCAACAAATTATTTCCTGAGTGAATTATTTTTTATTTAAGTCTGTGGTTTTAAAAGTGGGTTCAGCACAGCCTTAGGCTATCTTATGGGGTAGTATATCCACATAATGTTTTGCTCAAACCAGACTATGTTAGGGAGTAAAAGTTGGTGCTATTAATGATTTCGTTAGGGAAATGAACTAGAAGTATGGTCCCCTTCCCTATAGGCTGCTTCCGGGACGGGCTCAATGGGGAGGAGGGCCTGCCACATGGCACTGAATAGTCTCTGTCTTCAGGACCATGGGGTCCTGCCATCATAATCCACGTGGCCTGACACAACCACCCAGCGGGTGGGAAGACAGAGAGCCATGGAATAGATCATCTCCTCTTTACTTTCACACTGAACAGGGCAGCTATATTTACTTTTTCCTATATAGTCACATGTTGCTAAATGACGGGGATACGTTCTGAGAAATGTGTCATCAGTCGATTTTGTTGTGCAAACATCACAGAGTGTACTTACACACACCTAGATGGTATAGCCTGCCACACACCTAGGCTATGTGATATAGCTATTATAATCTCATGGGATCACCATCATATATGTGGTCTATCATGGACTGAAAAGTTCTTATGTGGTGTGTGGCTGTATTGTATTTTTGAATAAGAGTTTGGAAAAAAAGAGGTTTGTTGCTGAGAAATCTGAAATTACTACTACTTTTATTCTTTTCCTCAGCTATGGAGCTTTATGCAATCATTCATTCCATAAATATTTACTAGTGTCTGCTAGATGAGTCTGTCCTGCACACGCTGACTGCACAGTAGAGGTCCTTTCTGAAGTCTGTGCAGTGGAAATGGAGTGCAGGGTGGATCGGGTCTCTCAGCACATAACCTCTGCTCGGGAGTTTCCATTTTGTGTCTTCTTGGTGCCAAAACTTGCCCAGTGATGAGAAGGGAGAATTAAAGAGGGACTTGTCACATCTTGGAAGTCACGTAACCTATTGAGGTTGGAGAGAGCACCTCCCTTATGCAGAGGTTTGTATCCAGCAGACTCAGCTCTCTGGAACATCAATAACTTGGAGGGAGGGGACAAGAGCAAACCTTTAGCACCATAAACTCAGTGGCATGAAGTCCACCTATCAGGACATGCCTCGGCAGAAGGCAACCACCAGCCACCCCCAGCCTAAGTTCTGCGCACCCACGACTGTACTTTTTCTCAGTTTAGTCCTGAGGTGGGTGCACTCGAGCCATTGGAGGTGCCCAGCTTAGTTTTTCCCCAAACTAGGTTGGCATGTTTCCAAAGGCCACAGTTGGGAAGGCACAAAAGAAGTGGAAAGGGTGAGTCCAGATGTCTCATCTGAGCTTAACTGAAGTGTTACCTAGAGACTGGCCTGGCCGGTGCGACTCATGGGATTGCTTAGAGAAGGAAGTTTCCACCTTTTGAAAAATTCACTCATGTGAAGCACCTTTGTCTTGATAATGTCAAATAAATTTGTGTAAAGTGCCACGTTTATTTTCCGATGCCTCTGCTCGCCCCTCTGCCTTCCATCCCCGCTCTGTTCATTCCGGCTGCTTCTCTGCACCACAGAACCCTGGTCGACAGGTTCAGTACCGCGGTGTGTCCACACATGGTACAGAGAGCTGCTGATCCCCCAGAATCTGCAGAAGCTGGGGTTCTGAAACGAGTCTCTTTGTAGGTGGAATCGTCTCAAGAAGCCAACGCTGAGGTGATGAGAGAGATGACGAGGAAGCTGTACGGCCAGTACGAGGAGAGGCTGCAGGAGGAGCAGCGGAAGCACAGTGCCGAGAAGGAGGCTCTCCTGGTGCGTGTGCTGCAGCTGCCCATGGAGGTGACCCCCGGGTGGGGGCTTGCTGTTGGTGGTGAGCTTTAGATAGCAGGGTCTCTTCTTAGAGGTGAGTTAGTGGACTTGAACATGGGTGAGGGATCAAGGAACCGATCCTGTTGCTCATTCATTCCCTTCCCTTCTTCCTTCCCTGCTCAGGACAGTCCCCAATCTCCTCCAAATACACATCGTCATTCTCTAGCCAGTCTGACCATTTGCCAGCATCTAAGCAGATCCTGCACTTGCCTGTGGCTGTGCCCTTCCTCCCTCCACTTACTCCTCTCTACCCAAAATTTCCCTCTTCCCTATCCTTGGTCCTACCCAATCTCCCTAAAAAGCCTGAAAATGCCACCCTGTCCATGCATGGAGTCTCTCCCATCCACACAGCTAGAAGTATTCTCTGTCCTTGGGAAGCCTGCCTCATCTCAGTGCTCTTTGCTGTGGAATTCTGTATGCCTGTCAGTAGAGTTGGGCTGTACATCTTACATCCCGACTTCTCTAAGGAGAGCATAAGTTCCTTGAAGGCAGGGAGCCATGTCTGGCTTATCTGTGTCCTTAGAGGCTTCATAAATGTGCTGAACGATTGACTAGGTTTTCTTCTTAGGAATGAGTTGGTGCGTTATAATATGGGAGAAAGAACTGGGAATTCTGCATTTGATTCCAGATCTGCCCTAATTCTCTTTATACTGTCAGCAAGTACAGTGATACTCCGAGCATCTACTCAATGTTATTTAAACCTTTGCAGGCTCTTTTTAAGCCTTTTGGACTTAAAGATTCAAGGGAAAAAAGGAGAAAAAGTAACCAGGCCCATTAAAAAGCCTCACGATGTATCTTTATGCATAGGTGAGAAGCAGAATCATGGAAGTTAAGTTCATGATCTTTGAGACACTTTTAGATCCCAAGGTCATGCTTTTAAAGAGAAATCATGATTGAGCAAGGCCAGAGCTGTTTGGACCCTAATAAGTAGCTTTAGTACTTCATGCCTGTACTGAGGAGAGTATGTTTCTGTTGCAGGAAGAAACCAACAGCTTTCTGAAGGCAATTGAAGAAGCCAATAAAAGGATGCATGCAGCGGAGCTCAGCCTAGAGGAGAAAGACCAGAGGATTGGGGAGCTGGACAGGCTGATTGAGCGCATGGAAAAGGTGAGACACAGCTTTGGCCCTGGCTGCCTATTGGCCTAAACTCCCCTTTATTTCCTCAGTTCCCTTGCAGGCCTGGCTGAAGATAAGAGAAACCCTCAACACTGATCCCTCTCATCCCTCCAATTTATAATAATAACAGTTTTTTAAAAAGCTATAAAATAAAGTATAAGGAAGTCCAACACAGTTCTGATTTTTTCCCATGGTAACTATTTTGATCCTTTTAAAAAATATTATGTATGAAATTCTTTACAAAAATTAATATTTTAGCAGCTCTGCTCTGCTAGTGCCTCAGTCATGAACTTAGTTTCCCATTGAGTAATCAGGCCCTAATCTAGAGGTTACATCAACACCCCAACCCCGTTGTTTCTGGGCCCTACTTCTCAAGGGTTGACTTTTCCCTGACACACCAGGGACTTGGAGGAGTAGGGGATACCACGTTTCTCTGTGCATGTGGTAAGCAGGGTGATGGGTGAGGGCGGGGGAGACCTGTGGAAGGCAGGAGCTCCACTGAGATAATGAAGCCAGTCAAGAGAGAAGGAAGAGGCTGGAAATGATGCAGGAAGTAAAGAAAAGGGAAGAAGGGGGGTGGGAGAGAGGATAGAAGGAAGGAAGGAAGGGAAGGAAGAGAAAGGATGGGTGACCTCCAGCAGGTGACTGCTGACATCTTGGGGGGGGACCAGGAATTTAGGGTAAAAGCTGTGGCTGGTTTCTGGAAAACAGCTCTCTAGCTGCATATGAGTTTGTGGGTAGTGGTTACCTGTCAAGATCGTGCATCCTGTAACTCATTCTGGAAGCTGAGACTTTCCAACCTGATGATGGAGGTGGGGGGAGGGGGTGGGCTGCGAAATGACAGTGTAAGCAAGGTCACCATCTGGGCTTCCATGTGATGTGAGAAGAGGTCTTCTTACCCCATGGTATCTGCAACATGAATCCCTCTACAGTCCTGTGACAAGGCCAGGTGTAGCCAGAGTAGGAACTACATTCAGCTTAGAGCTGTGGAGCTTCAGGGCTCATGTGGGTGGGGAGGACTCCCTTTTTAGTTAATATCTTTATTTGTGAGGGACTTGAGCAAACTAAAGCGTCAGTTACAATCTCACCTCTCCCTGCCTGGCAAAATAGAATCCCATCTTTTATTGAATAGCAGATGATTGGCTCCTTTGGGACTACATTGGTATTGATCAGAGTGGGTGGTGACGAAGACGGCAACGAGGGCACTTTCTGGAACTTGGGTGAGCTTTCTCTCACATTACTGTTCTCCTGCAACAGCAGAAGATGCTGCTTAACTCAGATGCTCTGTCTAGGTGACAGATTTCCCTGCAAGGTGAGCAGGCAGCGTGGGGGAGATGGTTAGGGCGAGGAGGGAGGGAGGGCAGCGAGGCCCCCTTATGGAGAGAGTGTGGGTGTGGGTAAGAGCATAGGGTTTAGAATCAGACAGCCCTAGGGTTTGAATCGTACCTCTCTTTCTAGCTGTGGGCAGTTACTTTTCCAAGCCCAATTCCCTGTTCTGTAAAGTGCTGATAATGATAGTTCTTATTCTTAGGGCTTTTGTGAGAAGTAAAAGAGAAAAATTCCTGCCAAGTGCTAAGCATAGTACCTGGCACATAGTAAGGGCTCAGTCATTTGTGGCTCTGAGTTTTATTTTGTTACAGGCTTGCTGAAGTGTCTGCCCCCAAGGTTAGCTTTTTTTTTTTTTTTAAACTTATCTTCTTTGTAACCTTGGCATTCTGAAAGTTTCTAGATTTTCCCCGCTGATTTCCACGTGGAGCCCTAATGCGAGCTGAGTGGGTGGGAGGCCAGGGAGGCGGGAAGGCCGGCCCTCTTTGCCAGCACTTAGGTAACACAAAACGTTCCCTAAGTTGTGTTGGCTTTGTCTTTAGTGATTGAAGATTTGTTGTCCTTTCTCTAAATCTTCCTTTCCATTTAGACTAGAGAGATGCTTTCTTTATTTAGCTGAGATTAGAGGTACCAATTTACGCTCTTTCCCCTTTAGGGATAAATCTTTGAGAGCAGGAATCTGGCCAAATCTCTGTCTCACACTATGTGAACAGCATGTCCGTGAGCTGTAGCAGTGTTTGTATCCTGCTCTCATTTATTTTTGAATTTTGCTTGAGGACACACTGTGTGCTTTAGAATGGCTTCTCTACTTACATATCTTAGTTGGCTGTTTCTCTTATTGAGTATTGTATTCAAAACACCTTTTTTTATGATCAGGAAAACTCTTTTAAGGGGTGTGTTCTACCAGGAACCCTTCTGGGGAACAGATAATATTCTGTGCCTTCATCTGGATGGTGGTTTCACATGTGTATAAATATGTAAAACATTATTGTGCATTGTACACTTAAGATTTGTTGTACCTCAATTTTTTAAAAATTTGAATTTTGAAGGAGTGCTGTAAGTTAGGCCTTGTCCTATTTTATGATAGCTTTTTTTTTTTTTTTGGATGGGGGATGCTCCCTTGTGAAAGGTTCATTGCTGTGATTTCAAGGCTAATGTAAACTTCCAGCTAGTGGCACACCACATAGGGCAGGGGGAACATTCCACCCAGGCCAGGCCATAAGATATGCATTTGCTGGAGAGATCAAAAACAATAACAAAACCCTAATAAGTCAGTCTTCCTTTATTATTCTGAATCTGCCGATGATATGAAACTCTTCCTGGCTAAGGAGTCCCCCACCTCTGGCCTTTCCATTGCATACCAGTGCTTACAACTTCGGAAGTTGTAGGAGTTACATTTTCAAATATTTGCTTGCTTTTTTTTTTTTTTTTTTTTTTTTTTTTTTTACTTTTGGCAACTGGCCGGTATGAGGATCCAAACCCTTGACCTTGGAGTGATAACACTGCGCTCTAACCAGCTGAGCTAACTGGCCAGCCCCTAAACATTTGCTTTAAATAATCTGGTGGAAAGAAGTTTGGAATCTATATAACTAGTAAGAGTTTGTTGGGGAGAATTTCTGAGAATAAAGATGAGGCATCGTAGTTCTTAGAAGAGGACCTAAATTAAAATAATCTCCTCCCAATTAGTGAGCAGGATTTGGTAAACTTCAACGTTAAGGAGATTTATTACGCTAACATCTGTAATGTATTTCTAGTGCTCTTTCAGTTATGATGAGCACCACACTCTTATTAACATTTTTCCACTTTCTCCAAAGGAGTAATTGTCCAAATTCTTACTTTTTTTGGTAAACTGTTAAATTTACATATATACAGCAAATGTATAAAATGCCCAGCTTGATACATGTATATTTCCTGTTGATACTGTCCTAAAATCAAGATGTTGGCAGGATTGGATTCCTTTTGGAAACTCTAGAAGAGAATCCGTTTCCTTGCCTTCTCTAACTTCTGGAGACCACCTGTATTCCTTGACTTATGGCCCCCGCCTCCAGCTTCAAGGATGGCCATGTAGCATCTTCCAGTCTCTCTCTGTGATTCTAACCCTACTGCCTCCTCCTTGTAAGAGCCTAACTGGGCAATCCAGGATAATCTCCCCATTTTTAAGATCCTTAACTTAATCACACCTGCAAAGTTCCTTTTTCCATTTAAGATCACATACAAGTATTTACAGATTTCAGGGGTTAGGACGTGAATGTCTTTGGGGGACAATTATTTAGACTACCACAATATGTTTTTTACAAGTGAACACCCCTGTATAAACACCACCATGGTTAATATGTAGAATGTTACCACAATTCCTGAGACTCTTTTCTTCATGATTTAGAAAATAATCAAGAATTTTACAATATCACCAGCCACTGATGTAGAGTATTGATTATTATCATTTAGAACTATAAATTTTCATAAGACATCTGAGCTTGGGCTGATGGAATACTTTAAAAAAATTAAATCTTGAATGTGGTTTTATCCAGGATATTTGTCTCTAATTCATAAATACACACTAACAGATTTGGCACTTCAGAACTTTGTTTGGACTCTGGATGAGTTGGTGTGTAAAACCTAGGGGTATTGTATAGATTTGGACTTCCTAGTGTTAGAATTGCTTGATATACATTCTCTGTACAACTTGGAATCCATTGATTAAAATATCAGTTTCTGTTTGTTTTAGGAACGCCATCAACTGCAACTCCAACTCCTAGAACATGAAACAGAAATGTCAGGGGAAATAGCTGATCCTGACAAGGAAAGGTGAGATGCAATGTCTTTTGCCTTGTCATGGATTGAGATGGTAGGCATGCTGTGCTTTTGTGGACTCATTTGACCCTGGCATTTTCATTCACAAGATCGTCACTTATTATAGACTTAAATGTACACAGCATTGGGCTGAGAGCTTCCAATGTGGGTGAGTTTCTTTAGGAGCTTATAGTCACGTCTTACAGCCTGTGGCTGGTTGTTAGTGCACTGGAATACATCAAAGACTGTTGCAAGTGCAAGAGTTCAGTCTATAAATGTTCATGATAACCTTGAATTCCACAGAATGCACCTTGTTGATGAATAAACTCATCAACCAAGAATAATACCGTTTGTCCTGGAAGTTGATTTTAGAATGTTTTTCTTAGTTTCCAAATCTTGCTTAGTAAAACCTTGCATTGCCCTCTGGCTAGGAGCATATGAAACCCAGGATAGAAAATATGGGAGCAGTACACTGTCTCTTCTAGAAATCAAAAGGCAGAGAGGCCACAATGGCTCTCTAGTGAAAGAAAACGAGATGGGAATGATCTGAGCATTTGGAGCAAGTCATTTAACCTTCCTGAGAATCTTTGCTTATCTGTAAGATGGGAATTCTTTTTTAAAAGGGGAGAGGGTTACAATGACGATAACAGGGCCCATCTCACTGGGTTATTACTGTGAGGGAACTTTTGGGTATATTGGCCTGACACACAGTATGTGCTGAAAAAATACCTGTTTTCCTTCGCCTTTTGAAACTTCAGAGTTTTCAAGGTTATGGGATTCTTTACTGGTCTGTAACATAGTGCTGAGGAAGGACCTGGTGGGGATGGGGAGTGGGAGGCAGGACATCAGAGCCCCCCTCCAGTGCTCTGCTCGCACGGCCCCTCAGAACTGGAGTCCATCTGCTAGTTGCTGTGGTTTCTTTGAACCAAGCAAAATTGGAGAATAATTAGTGCTGTTTTAAAACAAAAGTATGAAATATTTTGTGATACGGCCCACTCTGTTTTGATGTGGAGACAGTCTTTCAGCATGTTCCCCGTTTACCTAGAATAAATGATGTGTAGAGAAACTCTAATTCCAGACCCCACAAGTCTGCCACTTGATTTCAGATATTTTGTTGTGTTGCTAGACTCCTTTTCATCTGAATGCATAATCAAGGTAGTTTATGGAATGTGCCAATATTGTATTAACCCCCAAATAGATGGCTTCTCATACCTGTAAGTGGTGCAGAAAAAATTCTCTTAGTCTCTGGAAAATATAGTAACTGACCTTATACAGGATAAAACTTGCACGTGGGAACTTGAAAGAGTCCTGTAATTCTTCTATGGTGTGGTGGTTGATCAGTAGTCAGTCACTTAGGACATTCAAAGTAGGAGGAGCGCATCTCAGAGTTTCATTTTGTCTTCTTGGCAATATTTCTTTAACGCTGTAACTGTCTGTGCTGGTGTGGCTGCTATGGTTTGGGACTCAGTTGCCTTTTCTTCCATTTGTGCTAGGTATCAGCAGCTGGAGGAGGCCTCGGCCAGCCTCCGGGAGCGGATCAGGCACCTGGATGACATGGTGCACTGCCAGCAGAAGAAAGTCAAACAGATGGTTGAGGAGGTAAGCGCTGGTGAAAGGCCCAGGCTGGGGTTGTTCCCGCGGTGGGGAAGCTTCAGCCCCAGAACAGATCTGGTTCTCAGCTTGCTTTCCTGTGGCTCACAAGTGAACTTGCTCAGGCCACTGCTGTCTTGGCCCACAGGGCCATTTCCTCATATGTCCCCCGTGGACTGGTGATGATCCCTCTAAAAGAGGGTTTTCTCCAGATCTAAAGGTTGCAGTTAAGAAAGCTATGAAGAGCGGTTCATATGCTCACCTGCTTTCACAGGGCAGTGACACCCCGTGTGGAAGCCACAGCTCGGCGGCAGAGGGTGTGATGAGAGAGGACTTGAGCTCAGGTCTTGGCACTGCCCCACAACTGCCCGCCTCCCTCTCCTGGCTGCTGCTCTTGCCCTCCGTTTCCGTTTCCGGGTGTGTCTTTCCGTAATTCCCTTACCAGGCCTGTTCCTCTCTCTTTTCTCCCTCCTCCTCCAGTCTCTTTTCTCTCCCCTGATTCTTCTTCATCCTTCCTCTTTTCCACCATCCTTTCTCTTCTAACTATCTATGTAACATGAAACCAAGTTAATATATTTACTATAGTAGGCATAGTTTACTATTCTTTTTCTAAATGAAAAAAACAGGTAAGTTGAGCATTTATATTTCTCTAAGAGGAAAAAAAATTTTTTTAACTTGTGTCAGTGTAATCTGTCTTGTTGTCAGTAGAAGAAAAGTCTGTTTTTCATAAAGCTAATCACATATTATTGTAGTTTTCTCTTGCTTAATTAGAAAATCTGATGGAAAAATCTGATAGAAAAGGAAAGATTAGTACTAATGAGGTTATAAGAATTCCCTTGGGTCTGATTCCCTGACTTGCAAAGAAAAAGGTTTCAATTTAATTAATACATTTGGTTGGCAGTGGAAAACTGAAAAAAACTTTTCCTTACATTAAACACTACTCTAAAAAGTTATGTGTTTTATTAGTGAATTATTAAAATTAAAAGTATATCTACTTCTAATAAAGAATTCATACACGTGACAGACAATAGAAGATGGAAAATATATCTATTTTATTAATCCATGAAATGTTGGGGGTATCAGTGTGGTGGGGTTAAGGTCAGGGAATTGTGAAGATGGGGGGACACCTCTTTTGATTGGGTATAGTGTAAACATGTACATTAGATAAAATCTTGTCCCCAATAGAGAAGTCCAGTCATACTGTGTTGAATCATGTATGTCTTACATGAGCTCGCACACAAGTTCCTGGGGAGCAGAGGCTCAGAAGAGGAAACGAGGCAGGGACACCGCCAGCAAGGGTGATGGGCAGGGGTCTCTCCCTTAGGAGCTCCTGCCCATCAGCACTAGCGAGATGTCAGGAGTGTTTCCCAAGGGAGAGCATTGCTTTGTTATAATTAGCATCTTGGTGAACCTTGGCTGTCAGAGCACAGTTTTTCTGCTTCTGAATTTCAAACACATGAAGTCTGAGGTGAGGGCGATCCCTTATTTTTCCCTATGTGACTCCTTAACCGTGGGGCACTACATTTCTCCCACCTCGCCACAGGGGGGTGTCTGTGTTGTTCTCATACCTAATATTAGAGAACCGTTGAACAAAACCTCCTACTGTCTGTCTTCTGATTTAGTTAAATCCTTATCTGTGAGGGTTTAAGACTGGTACCAGCATCAGAGATACTTTTTAAAGGCATTTTCAAAGTAGTTTAGAATTCTCTGTTTTCTGACTTACTTCTGGAATATACAAATGTACCAATTTGAAGGGAGTGGGGGAATATACACACACAGTAAATATAAATTTAATATATATTAAATATATATAAATGTATACATACTCTGTATATAAATAGTGAAGCATGTAAGGTCACTGTCCATGCCTTGCTTTTCTGCCTGTAATTTCACATCTCCCAAATAAGCCTGAGTTCTGATGATGTGGTCTGGGAGGCCCAGTCATTGGTATGAAATCACAGGCTAAATCTTAGGAGGGCCCATCACAGTTAGCACCACCTAGGGGCCAGCTGGGTTTCAACAGAGAAAGGAGGCAAAAAAAAAAAAAAGACTTTTTATTCTGCATTTAAACTATCTAAATCAGATAGTAAAAATTATTATGTTTGTCCAGTTACCATATGAAATTATACAACAACAGGATGGTTTAAAATCTCAATTATTGTAGCCATTTATGTGACTATATATATGTATATATATACACATTTTACAGTTAGAAACGTGGAAAAGGGACAGTGACGAGTGAGCACATTCAGAAGGACAGGGCCAGATTGGAAAGGAGTTGAAAACGCAAGTAATTCAGGGAAAGGCTGAAGGAATTGGGGAAGACATGGCCCGGGGGAAACGTGAAAGCTGGATTTACATCTCAGAAAGCGATCCTGTAGAAGAGGGAGTGTATTTTGGTCTTGTATCACGATGCAGGGCCAGGCTAGAACCACTGGGTGGCACTTTCAAAGAGGCACATTTCAGCTCTCCATTCAAAGCTGAGAAAACTTCTCTAATACTAGCTGTCCTGAGAAGGTATTTAGCCCTTCATCACGGACACATTCCTTATGAAGTAAGAAACTGAGATAGAAACTCTAGGGTTCCTCCAAAAGCCTATGTTCTGTGATCTGAAAGACTATGTGGAGGAAATCCGGTCACTTTGGTAAATGTTCCTTATATAAAGAGTTCTGTATTGTTTACTATGCTGTGCCTGTTATTATGATCCCAGCATTATCATTACTTTGCACTATCATTATTTTGAGCAAAATCAGCAAAGTCATAACTAAATCACTTCAGATCTCTTGGACCATATTTTGAAAAATCCAGTCTACTGATTTGATCACTTGCAGAATCTTAACTCTGACTTTAGAAAAGAAGTGTATTTTTATCTGTGGACTCAGGCTACCCAGATGTGGAGGCAAATTTGACCTAGATAGAGTCAACCTTTAGGTGTAGCAGGTGTTAGGGGCGGTTTTCCTTCCTGCACAGGAAGTTAGAAAGCGCGTCTGCATCATAACCTCACCTTCACCAGGGATGGGAATTTAGGATCCACCCGTTGCTGGTGTCATTTTGGTCATAATGTATGTGAAGAAACCTGATTTATTAAAATGATGGGCTTCTTTTTTCAGCTCAAAATGTCCTACTATTACTACTGAGGCTTTCAGAATCCTTAAATGTTAAGCAGTATATTTCTTACCACCTCAGTAGAATAGTGTTTCTTCATCATCATCATCATAATGAACTGAACAAAAAGGAACTGGTCCAGGTTTTGCAGTCCTTAACTCAAGAATGACTTGATTTCCCTAGTGTGAGAGAGTAAGGACTAGCACTATGTGAGAAGGGCTCATGGGAGCAGGGAGCATGGGCCCTTTTGAAGTGAGGGATTATAATGTATTTTACGGGGTCAAGTTCATTGAAAAAAGACAACACAGAGTGTCTTCTATGAAGTGTAGGACCAAATACCTCCACTAAACTAGGTCTTTCTACTAAATAAAGTCTCCCTTTGTCATGGACGCCAGGGATTGGATATTTTCCTCCCATCACTAGTTCTTGCAGCTGGTTCTGGCTCTGACAAAAATAACTAACAAAACAAAAAATGCCCTACATGTACCACTTTTAGATTTTTAAGGTTTTGTCAGAAAATGTACAGAAATGCCAAGAATCTGAAAAAAATAGCACTCGAGAGGAAATTCATTTATTCATCCATTCACCAGATGTCCACCAGCACCTGCTCTGCGAGGAGCCACGCAAATGTGGGCCCTTCCCTCATGCATCTTACCCTCTGGTGTTACCAGAGTTTCAGGGTGATCCTTGCCCTTGGGCTTCATTCCTCTGTTGAAAAGCCTTGCTGGGATTTGGTTCTTGGTGTCCAGTCAGGCTGTTTTTTTTTTTAGATTGCCCGGAAAAGCACTAGGAGAGTGGGGAGGAGTAAAAGGCTAGGGAGGATCCTGAGACCAGAGCAGCGAGCCTCTGCTCACACACTAGTGTGATTCCTTCAGTCAGCAGGGCTATACACGCCTCTTTACCTGCTCCCACCAAGGCCCAGTCTGCTGCCAACCTAAGCAGCTTTCCTGCCAAGGGGAAAAGGATCTAGAGGAAAAAACAAATTTTTATTTGCCCTCCAAAAGGGTAGGTTCACATTTTTGCCAATGGGTAATGATTATTCAATTGGACAAACAGTAATAAGCGTTCCTTTACTGCTTTCTATTTCAACCATTAGGCATCCTTTCATTTTATCATGCCTTTCTTCTGATTTCCCATTGCTGTTTGCGATATGGGAAATGTTCTTTCCAACAAAAGTGTCTGAAGGGAGTTTCTTTTCAGTTGCAGAGGAGGCATTATTTCTTTAGATTTTTTTTTTGCAGAAAGCAATTGTACTCTACCCCCGCCCTTGATATAATTTAGGTGTTTAATAAGTGCAAAGGTGCAAGGAATTGATTTTCTCATTAGTGCTTCTCCACCCAGGCTGCACATTAGAATCACCTGGGGAGCTTTAAAAACACGCTTGAACCTGGCAGATGGGGGTGAGAGACAGACAGGTTACTGGGTTGGTTGGTTTGTTTTTTAACTTCACAAATGATTCCAGTGTGAGCCAGGATTGAGAACTGATGCCCTGTATTCTCAGTCAGAGCAGTGGCCTGACTCTTCTAGCTGGGTTTTGTGTTGTTAATGTATTCAGCCAGCTTCCTTCAGAAGCTCCTATACCTGAGGTAGAAGACGGGGAGTGAACTCAGAGTAGGAAGGGCTCAGCAGAAGAAAGCCAGGGAGACCAGTCCCTAGAGACTAGGAGCACTGAAATGAGAAAGATGGTCCAAGTCTGTGACTGTCTGGCTCCTATCAAGGGACGCTGACTTCTTGCCAACCCCTGGTTCTGGGAGGATTCTGAGACAGCTCACTCTTAATAGGTGTACTGGCCTGGTGGTATCCAGATAATAAAAACTTCCCAGAGGCTATCCAGATCCATCTAGAGGGAAGGTGTTACTGAGGCAGAATGAGGTCCACTTATTTAACAGATAATAGAGACGTAA